GATATTACACTCTGTATTCGTGCATTGAAAGTTGATCTTGCAGAAAATCGGAAATTTTAGACGTGAAAACAATGAGGTACACCGTCCATATAGATATATTAAGTTCATTCTGGAAACTATAGCCTTGACAAACGCGACAATTAGTTCATAAATATCAGTAAATCTGTCCAGTTTATTGACACAATCATGTAATAAGTAGAAGAATTACGAATTATTCTTTATGTCTTGTTTGTTTTATGTAGTAAGTCTCCGTGTACATTAACGTAGGTTATGAGGATAAAATAAACATCTAACTACTCTCGAAATAAATATTAGTAATGTAGTACCTACGTTCGGAAAGCTACTTCAATGCGATTTGCGCACATCGATCTAAAATAATACTGATTACATATCTACCATGGTGTTTGTTTTATTAAGCGGTTGCTATTCCGTAGTTGTTGCAAAATCTGATACAATACCTACATATGAATAGAAACTGGATTAAATGTCTACTAAATCTATCTTTACTTATTTCCCTCTGTCATTTAAGATCATTCTAAAGAACTCTATTTTAAATGTCGTATTTTTTAGACATTAATTTTATGCGGTCGAAACAAGCCCTAAATGTCATAAAAAGTTTTACGATGCGACGACGCGCTTAGATTCGTCTTGCCACGGTTTAGTTCTGCTTGATAAACTCTTTTGACTGTGACTGATATTTTAATTTATAAATCAATCAATAGTTACATTTGTGACAAAAATACCGAATTACTGGTTAAAGTTAATGGAATGGCGCTGTTTGAACTTTGAAGTTAGTAAACGGGAATTCATAAAATATCGTAAAAGTTAACTAATGTCCAATGTAGAGTTTGTATCAGAATACCGTAGTAGGCCTCGGTCGTCGCAGGAAGCGATCTCTCATTACGTTTTTTTTATGGTTTGTCCGATGCTCCCGCCTGGCCGCGATGCGTTCACGATGCGTGCTGAGACCGGCTCGTATCACTACTTTTATTTATTTTTTCTACAATAGATCGTATTATTTTTAGTAAACCGCCAGATTCAGATGAATTTAACTTTTAAAATCGTGCGAAAACATTCCTTCCATATTGTATTGTATCGGTATTTCTAAATTCTTGTTGTGTGTCGTAGCAAAATAAATAGTTTTTCTTTCTTTCTTTCTTTCTTTCTTTGTATCGTGTGGTATGGGTTTAAACCAATATCTGTAAGTGATTAATTAGTGAAATATTATTGTTGGGTACAATTTATTAATTTTTTTTTGTGGTTAGTTTTCCATGTGAGTATGCAAAATACCGAAAGAGTTAATTAAACGGCAGGGTGTTAATATGCAAACCGAACATTTGCCAGGGTTGCCGGCCACCCCCACTTTCTCACACATCGATAAATGCAGTTATGGGAGACGTCTCGGGCAACAGGTGTAGGCGCGTTCTTCAAAGCTTTTTGTGAGTCTTCGCTAAGATTTAAATTCTCACATAAGGATTGCTGCTAGTCGCTTAACTAGCATGTATACTTTAGCCATTAGCATCTTCTCGTATTTGAAATTTGGCTTTACAAGTAAGTACTGTATTTTCAAGCTTTATAGTTTTAAATTGAATGACTAAAATAAAATTGTTTCGTATCAAAAGTTTACGCCTGGTAACCGGCTATTTATGTCCAGGTTATGTTAAACATCAGTCTTCCATTTAAAACCGTGTGTTTTGTATTCACGAAGTCAAAACGATTCCCTTTCGTCACGCAGTGCCAATTCACGATCCCTAATTAAACTACAGTTTGCAGTCGCCTCATTATTTTCGATAATTGACTATTTCCATAGCTGCTTTAATATTTATTTAAATCGAACGTTCTACTATTACAATTATGTTTAAATAATAAACGTTTTTATGTTAATTTTGTGTTATCATTGACCACTGCAGTGCGGTGCTCTTCACGAAAAATAATGATTAATTACAACAACTCTATCGCTGGTGGGATGTTAAAATATTTAGTATATATTCGGGTATACCATTGCAATTTAAAATACAGATTGCAAAACTATCTCAATATAATTTCAGTCTGTCGAAATCTAGGATAAAATGTAAAGTTGTTAGTCAATGACATGTATGACTGATATTTATGTAAGTATGCCATGGTTTTCTTTCAACACTTGAAAATCGAGTTTCATGTGGTTGTCTATTATTTATATCTTATTTACATCTAGCCTCCATTCCAGTTTCATCATCATTCATCGCATTGTATTTATTTCTATATCGTCACCATCTACATTAGCCGCAGCCTCCTCTGATCTTAATCTTTCCTGTATAGTACTCATTTTGTTCTGGTCTTTCCCATTAATAAATGAATCATTTGGACACTCTTAAATAATATTAACTTCCCTTAAGTTTATCCTTTCTTGTGTATGATCTCATAATGAATCGGTAGTTACAGTAAATTGGTACGCCATTTCTGAAAATTCAAAATAATCCGAGTTTGATGCTTGGATCTGTATTTCAAACGTTGCGCTTCTAATTGGCACAGGAAATATAGTTGCTGATTCTAAAAACCTCCAAAGCGTGCTTTGACCTATATTTCCAATCTTCAAATTGCCCCATTTTAGGGATACAGTGACAAAATTCGTTGTAATAAAGGTGTCTATTGTATTGTTGTATGAATTTAATGGGAATATAGACAGATGGGTATCACCCGTTGTTTGCTGTACATGTCGTGCATGCAGATGTCGGATCCTCGTCCACTAGTGAGTGAGTAGACAATAGTCCCGCGAGGGCACATTGCTACAGTAATTAACTTCCTGTTTTATTTGATGCTACAATCGGTAGTCACCACTGTGTTGGCGTAGACCAGCACACACGTAACACGTATCAATTTATCCAAATGTACCGTTACCTCGTATGAATAGGCCCCACAGTTTTTGATACGCGGTGTTCAAAATGATTCACAGTCGAAAAATATTTTTATTTTCTCAGAATGTCTGTGTTCGTTTCCTCTCGTTTCTATCAATAGTTGGGGGACTGCTCGTTAGTTCACCTTTTCATGTTTTACATACATACCTATATGCCTATATTAATTGAGTGATATTTTCACTTCTAGACAAAATAAGGGGTTATTAATCTGGAAAACATTTTGGCAAGCGCAAAAGATACTTTATTGTATCAATTATAAAGTAATAATTATGACGGGCATCCATCTATATACGTTTTTTAAATACATTTATTAAGCTCAAGAGATTTTTGTTTCTTTGTTTGAACGCGCTACGCTCCGAAAGTACTGGTCCGATTTGAATACTTCTTTTTGTGTTGGGTAGTGCATTTATCGAAGAAGGATATAGGCTATAGAATATCACGCTATGCCCAACAGTAGCCGAGCAGCAAGTGGAAGCGCGGCAGTAGTAAGTTACCTGATAATTTTAACTAGGCAGCAGCGCAGTCAATACCGCGACGGTCGTTGACACAGTAATATTCATACGTATTTTTTAGGAGTATTTGAACCGTGTCCAATATTTTGCTGGGCGCTGTTTGTTTGACATTGTTTCGATGCGAGACGCCGGTTTCCTTCATACGAAACATATTTTAATTTAGAATATCGTGAGAGGTAGACGTCTACTTGGACGCATGTATTTATGTATGAACTAGACTTGAATTTTGCGAGTGCGCCGGGTACCACAAATAGCCGGGTCGGGAGAGCGCCGCCCGATACGACCTGACTCTTGCCGTTGAACCGACTGGCCCATCGGTATTTACAAACTACAAAGCTATCCGTACAAAAGAACCTGTTACTCTAACCGCGTCGTAGTCTCTCTTTTCCATTCATTCCTTTATTCCTTGTAACGTGGGTATAACAAATACAGTCACGTACATTATTATGCTCTTGACTGACCAAATAAATCAATTATAAACATCATCATCTTTAAATATTGACGCAGTAGTTAAGATATTATTCAAATGTTAGAAATCTGGGCCTAATGACGTTGGCTTATTAACAAAGGCGATGATTGTCCATCTAATTTAGTATTCGTTGTGTGTAAGAGTAATGAGATCATTACATCTCCATGAAGTAAATTATTTTAGTGACGCATAAAAGAATAAATATTTTAAAACTGGTTGAGCTTACTCTATGTGTAGTATAGTTATCATAATGGTTTTACCGATGCGATTTATATCGCTCCTCGTTCGGTCCGCTCATCACGAGTGCAGACAATGCGTTAAGGGGTCGGGATTCAGGTAGAGTTCTTTTTATTTACATTTTTTGTTGCATACAGTTTTTTTTGCAACTGCCATCTATCATATGGTTTGTTTATAATGCGATGAAGCTGTTTACAGTCGAATACATTTTGTAAAGCCAGAATTATAAAGATATGAGAGCTTTAGCATTTTAAAGCAGTAATATATAACTTTGTCACGGATGCAAAAGATTTCTTTTTGTTTGGAACAATATTTTAAAATACATAAATTATATTTTCCGATTACGGATGTATCCTAAACCGTGAATCAGGTTCATGATAATTAGGTGATCACGGAGTGTAGGTAAATTAACGGTGATTCAAAACTAAACAATTTCCATTTCTCCCGTGTCGGTGTTAGCCTGCCGTGGCTATTTTTGTAATGCTACTCTACATTAAATTAGTACTGAAACATGACGTTTTGTTCATTTTAAAACAACATTTACTCCACGGTTTTTGTTGTAATGCGTCTTGAACATGTTCCGACGTGCTAAGAATCAGAATAGTGCTCCTTCCGTTGTTTATCGTTTCCTTCTATCGAGGGCTGTTTATCATATGTTTGATTTACATTAGCAATAATTAAACTAGTTTCCGATTAGTGAACGTGCTTCACTACACAGAAATGACTGCTCGACAAACTTTTGAAATAAGTTTGTAAGAGGAAAACTTTTCTAGCACTGTGTTCCTAGAAATAAGTTTATGTCCGATTAACTCAGGGCGGCTGACCGTACATCTGGCGAAGCACGTTCACTTTTGTTTGTTTGAAACATACGAGTATAGTAAGACGTACCTGGTCGCGCCGGAGAGTGCAGTTGACGACCTTCCATGATGGATGGGCGTCGGGAGTACACGTGCAATATTCCAGATTACACACTCCGATCTGATGTTCACCACTTATGAGAGGACAGATAGCTGCGAACACGAGTAGCGCCGTAAGTGGCGACATGATGCCGCGCTCCGGCGCGAGAGACCGCGCGCGCCGAGCGTCATGCACAGACTGGCGCGATGGCAGTATCACTCGGATCGCCGCTGTCTCTTACCATGTGCTAGTGCTGGCTTGCACTCGCGCTCCCGCTTATTATAGATATCGATGATGCGTTTTCATTTGTATTATTAACACTCAAAATTCTATTTAGTTATCACTATTAGAATGTTCAATGGTAAATCGTGATGAATTAACGATATGATAATTATGATTAAATGAAAATTAATTATTCTTGTGGTATGAATTTTTGTATTTTTAACTGGTTTTATTCCATTCAGAAATGGTAACAGCCGGTTACACTCTTTGTAGGCCATATCTGCCAGAAGAATATATAAAAATACAAAATTTTGTATAAGAAAATCTGCACATAAATTAAATGGGCTTGGTACTAAAACAGATCTATGAAACAGGCCTAAAAGTTTATATTATTAATATTATATTTAATTTAAATAATTAATCAACACATTTAAGATATAATAAACAATTTAGAGTAATAAAATATTCAATTTTTAGTGGTAACTAGCAAAGTTTGTCCACAAAAGTTTCGACCGACACACAGCAACTTGTTGACTGTTTACACAACGCGACATTGTTTGCCTCTATGGAGAATAGTATCTACCCGTTATTTATTACCATGTACCACAAATCATTTAGTTATTACATCCATTATGATATTAATAGAAACACTCATATTTACTTCTTGGTCGCCAGTTAATCAAGATTTCTTTGAACTTTGTAAGCTTATGTTGTTTTGATTTCAATCGTGACACAGGTATTGAAATGAAACACGAAATATAAATAAAATCTGTATTTATTTACTGAACAATGGTATTGTTCATAATGATCAGGTTATAAATGTGTATATTTCGTTGAAAATTGTAATTTCTCTCATAACATGAGGGCTCTACGATACTGAACATATTATTTTATTTACGTCGCATGTAATGGATTGTTTATCAACTCTAAAAGTATATTTTAAAAGATCCATTATTCATACCTATTACACAAAATTAAATTAATATGCTGAAACGTAATAATAGAGGTATATGATAAGAATCAAAACCCTTTATTTAACTCCTACTATATTGTTATTTTCCATACATGTATTGTACAATGTCCTTGTGTGCGTAAGCTCGGAAATGCCTAGCCAGCTATTTAATTATTTAGCTTACTTAACTAGTACTTGCAGTTACGTGGTACGAATTACAACAATAAATAAGGTTCATCCAAAAATTCAGCAAAAATATTAGAGTTGACTAAAAAACTAAGTAGATTATCATAACGTCACGCTTTTTAATCCCTGAAGGTATAGGCAAAGAATAGTAACATTTCAACAGCTATGACTAAAAAACTATCGATATGCAATTTGAATGCACCACAATTAGTCCGCGCGTCATCGATAACTCACATCGAGCACATGCCTAGTCGTCGAGATACGGAGGTCGGCGAGTGTTCGTTGTTAGCGGGCGACCCTGCAGTGCCAGCGTATGCACTCAAACCATAACCCATGCTGTAAAGGGCCAGCCACTGCGTAATTAACTGATGAATGCGCTACTGTTACTAACAAAATATTCTCAAAAACTAGGCTAAACACCTTCTTCACCAATTTTTTGTAGCTATCTTGTTAACATCATTTGTTACAGATAATAGCTTTTACAACGTAACATACTATGGCATGTAAGTCGAGCCTTCCTATGTGTTATATTAGCTTCTTCCAGCGGGTCCGCCTGCGTCCCAGGGTGATATAGTGGCCTACCTATGTGTTATTACGGACCATAATCTACTTCTGTTCCAAATTTCATCTCCAATCCTTTAGTACTTTTTGAGTGAAAGGTAATAAACAAATACACATACATCCTCATAAGCTTTAGCATTCATAATATTATTAGGATCGCCTATGCTTAGTAATTAATTTCTCTTCATGTCTCCAATAGGTACGTACCTACCTACCACATAGTCAAGAAACGGTCGCTGTAGCCGAAATTGGCATGGAGGATTATATACATAGGTACCTACTTAATTACACAATAGAATGCAATTACATAATGAAAATGTACCGAAATTAACGTTTCAAAAGGAATTTAATAACTATTGGAAAATGTATCAATTAGTTTTAACACAGGTGTTTCATTATTATTTAGATCAACAATGAAATTCAATGCATTCACTACTAGTATAGAGGGTTTATCCTGTTTGATATTTAATAATCATTTTCTACCATCGTGTGAATTCATAATAGTAATGATTTTGTTTAAGAGTATTCGTTTGCAAATATTATTTTGGGAGTTTTGTCGTTCCATGTTTGAATAAGTATCATACTTCACTGTCAACATTCAGACGTGCTTGCAAATCGTAATTGTTTAATATTTTTTGCTTCAAACAATTATAGTTTAATGGCTTTCCTGAAAATATCGATTTATAGTAGTTTAACTGAGTGGAGCTTTAGTTTGTTGCAGTTGCGAGTAACTAACTACGAGTACTTTGAAAGTTAAGTTGCAAGGGCTGCGGTTGAGCCATTTCTACCGGCCTTGATCCCTCGTACCTCAAACTACACTTGACTACATAAAGCTATCTTGAATGTCTTTCTTTTTTTTTTCTTATGAGTCAGGAGATAGAAAATCTGATGCCAAATGTAGCCGAGCATAGTATATCTAGATATATATCACACAGACGGAGGAAACAACGTAAAAACTGGCATGCAATTGAATCTAGGAAACAAAGAAAATGATTTGACCATCCAGTAAAATACATAGTATGTACTCATATATGGTAGAAGCATAACACTAGAAAGTTTTCAAAAGACACGCAATGATACGTCATGCCACTCTTTAAACTACATCATCGTTAGCTCAATGTTTTGTAATTACATATCAATGTCTGTTGTTTATTTATTGATTGCTTGTATAAATAATTTCGTGGTTCGTAACCATTCAATTCATGGTGCTCTCTAAATAAATGTCGTATACATATTGTACGTTATAATAGCAACTATTTAACTAATCATTATGTATTTTGATACTAATAGTAATATTAATGTGGTTGATTGTTGATCTAACGCAGATTTAATCTGTTTTTCGATAATTTGTTTAGTACTAACATGTAGTTTTGAACAGTATAATAGTTTCAAATTTCAGTAATCCTGCTCCTTATTACAAAGGACGTGTAAACTAAAATCATTTGCACAAAAGACAAAAATATCTGAAGACTGGTTAAATAACACTCTGTAGATATGTGATACAAGGAAACAAACACGTTCAGTTGTCAACCTGAAGTAGGGTAGACAGTACATCACGGCTGGACTTAATTTGCCTGAACAAATCCTAAATCCAATCCAGACATTCTAATTCTAGTTTCTGTCAATATAGCAAATTCGATAAGACAGGTTTCCTACTATTCCGGCTTGCCATAATAACTCTACGACACGTGAAAAACAATGTAACATCGATGCAAGTACGATTGTGAATGTAAACTGACATTAAATTAAAGAAATAAGGGAAAATACAGGTGCAGTTTAGAGAACATAAAACAGATAATTTCATGTCTATTGTGATGAAAGTAGTTCATATTAGTAGCTGAAAATCTGTATAGTGCTTTCATCTCAGTATTTTTCCGGGTCTAAGGAGTTTTTATAAAGTTTCCATAACCTCCATTTTAAGTCGGAAAATCATCCAATGACTTCTCTCGTTTTGGGTGAGGCTAGAGGATCTCTTACTGACTAAAACTACCCTGTTTCTATTCCTGCCCGGGTAACCTGGTTTAAATTAGGTTGCGGACAACCTCCAGTACATAACATTCTGTGTGCATATTTACAGTATTTTACACAACACCTCCCTAAACACAAATACTGTTATTGTACGCTTAAACGTAAACTATCCTCAAAAAGTATGTTGAATCAATGCTCGAGCACATACATTATGCGGCGAGAGTGCACTCTTACACAGTATTGGGTACTTACCTACCACGTGCAAATTTTTACTTAGAGCAGTTTTGAAGATCAGGTTTCTCAGGAAATTTATTCATATCTTACAATACACGCGCATCTTCTGTAAAGCCTTATACATGGATGGTCCAGGACATGGCAACTTAAATGGAACCTTCCATTACAGGGCAAGTTTTCAGCTTAAATCAAAAATAGTTATTGCAACGTAAACACTGATTCTTGACCTGAACACGTAGTATTGGTTCCACAAATTACAAATTACATTTAGCTAGGTACACATACGCCATTATTCTATTACCGGTTCTAATGGATTTAATTAAATAATTAGACATCGTTTCAATGGTGCATCAGACGTAATAAGCTTTTAACGTATATTAGGATTAGTGCGCATTATGTGACAAGCAATAATGTTATTCAATAAAATAATGTTACCAATGTAATATGATTCTAAGATGATTCTATTACGATTCTAATAATTGTATGTGGACACGGTGACATATCGAAGTATGCGAAACCAGTTCATCATGCCCCGCTTTGTATGATCTTTCCGCATATTCGATGGTCAGTTTAAATACTGATTTTGCATAGCTTGATGGGTCTGTAGGTATACACCTAGACGTCCATTAGCAGTTGAAGTTAGTACGACCTTGCACTCCACCTCTGCACTGCATGAACAGAAAGTTACAAAATCCCATTTTTTGTTCCTGACACTTTTATAATTGAGTATTCAAAATGTTACGTACAATTAACACTTCTGTACAATAATTGAAATCAGGAATTTCAGTTTCATACATACGAATTGTGCTATGGTTTCGCTTAGCTGTATCAAACGAAAGTTACTGTTTAGATCACAACAGGATGTGAAGTTAATTTTGCTAGAAAACTATGTCAAAATGCTGGACTCTTGAAAGACTTGCATAATGAACGAGAAGATATTTCTTCTGGTACCTAATAATACAGAAAACATAAAAGTTCAGTTACTGCCATGCTAGATTTTGATGGCGCTCCTGCGGTTTGGTTGTGCTCTAAATAGCTTTAAAAACTCATATACCATCGTAAACTGGACCATAATGGAAATAGTCCACCGTTTTTGATGTTTACGTGTTTGATTGTTTACGTAACTCATGTATCCCGGTGTAAAGCTAACATATGAGTACATAATGATTTATGGGTACATACATCTAAATATTGCGAGGCAGTTGGCTTTACTGGCACATTCACGTAAAGCTGTGCAACTATCACATCGGCTACTATTCATTATCTAGGAAGATTCCGCTTTTTCCAATAAACCGCTTTGTTATCCAATGTAATAGGATCGAAGATTTCAATTAATTAGAATTGGTCTTATCCTTTTAATTTATTGTCTTAATGCCTTTTTGTTTCGGACCATATTTTTCAGGGCTTTTTAAAGGAAACTGATATTTCAATTCATGCGGTTTAAAGGAACACGTCACAGGGTCATTTAAATCTCTTAAAACAGATTTGCTACTGCGGTAAGCTGTATAGCCAACTTACGTGAACGGTAATTCAATATTATTATTAAAGAATATATTTTATTTACCATTGTTAAATATATTTTCTGTTATCGCAAAACATTAACGAGTCCGTAAAGGATACTTTCACTAAGCTGTGAATGACGTTTTACAATAATTAGTACAATGTTTAGTATTAATTTAAATACTTTATTGATAGGTAGACTATATGGCTACCGGAGCAACGAAAAAAGATTAAAGTATCGGCTTTGATATTTTTTATCAATTCTACCTCTGTGAACAAGGATTTCACTAGCGAATAAAATATATTTTTTCATATGGGTTTTATCTATCCAGGATATCGTAGTCGAACGTTACTTTGTTAGTTTTGGATTTCTCAATTAGTGAAAACATTAGACAAAGTAAAACTCTTTATTCACGATAACTGTCAATGTCCATTCCGAACTACATACGTTTCAAACATTTCTAACTGATGGGTAGGGCTTGAGCAAATGCATTTTTTTTGTTTCAGGTGTAAAAATTCTAAAACAGTTTTAGTTACAAACTCAAGTTATATATTCCGAGTTGTATTCAATACGGCACAGTTTGAGAACATTTCAATTGCAGTTTGCTTGTATTTTTTCTTACTGTAATTGACAAAGGTCAACTTTTCCGACAATGTGCTGTTTCGTTCCGAACTTGCTCAGAAATAATCAGATAATTGAAGCATCTTAAATAGAAAACAAGTTAAAGTTATATTGCATTTCAAAGTTAATTTATTATTTCTAGTGGTTTACAATATTCGCTTCGTAGTTGTTGAACATTCCGATACAATGTATATCAAATAGTTATTGTTAATATGTAGCACATTTTGCTGAGATGCGGTTTTTTTGTCAACAGATGCGTTTCAACAGAGCGTCAGTTCCTGACAGACTTTGTAGCGGGCGCAGAGAGTACAGCTGGTGGCCGCCTGGCTCGCTGGCTGGCTCCGACGTCACACGTAGAGCCCTCTAAGTGTGAGCTGAAAGCCCCTGCACTACCAGTGCGTCCTTCAGCCAGGGTCACAATCCCTATCATCGTACGCGATCAATACGGAGAAAACGTATCCTCACCAGCTCTGAAAGTTGAGGTAAGTTTTGTAATATCCATTATTGGTAAGATTTAGCTGCAAGTACTTACCGTAATTTTTTTAGACACGTGTGATTCGACATGAAAAGAAGTCGTCGCATGTTCTTTGTTACCGCTTCTCATTTATGTTCTAGTCGTGCGCTGTACCTTACCATGACATTACATTACATGAAATGATAGCTTTTGTCTTTCCCTGTTCACATTATCCTTTTATATTTACAGTGCAGTGCTTTACATTGTGTATGAATTTTCTCTATGCTCTTATGAACCGATACCGATCATACCGATAAGCCTATGCTGTTATCGAGAATTTACTCCCACACCCGGCTCTTAAATAGTCCTTGTTTTTCTAATGCTGTATCGCGAGCGCCTCGGGAACTGCCAGGACCGATTGAAGTAGACGATATACGCAACAAGTGTTTGAAACTATATTCCAAAAACTTTTTACCTTGTTTTTAAAATAACTACTTACTACTAAAAATTACGAGATACTCATGCAGACATACCGAGCAAAAACTCTACTAGTTTCGAGTTACACAGGGATTCTTCCCTGGACGCCTTTTACTTTTTTAGGCGTAATTTTTAGTTAACTTTTTGCCTTATACTACTTACCGTGTCTTGTCTTGGACATGCAAAAATATAAACACTACAGTACGACCATTCGGAACATTCGTACTTGTATGTCCGACAGTTCTCGTTTGTTGAAATGATGTTGCTATTTACGAACGTGTCATTCAAGCCTCCCGTAGCAGCACATTGGCAACCCAATTTATCGGAATACTTCGAGTTGAATGGATCAGTCCAAACAAATCAGACAAAGTAAAAGTGGGTTTTACATTTTGCATTTACACCTTTACTCCCTTTACTTACACCTTTACTTCCTCGCTGGATTAAACGTTATGTTAAGTTTTGTAAATGTAGGTGAAACATTGACAGGAACACCTGGGCTGTGGAAATGGGACTTGCTCCGGATATAACGTTCTATGTGACCTACAGAAATCATAACCATGTTCACACAGTTCATACATAGTGATTCGATAGAGAAATTTTAAAAATATTCTATGAAATCTCTTCGATTTCCGGAGTAAATCATGTATTCAAGGAACTGCAAACTGCATTTATGGATGGTTTAAGGGAAATCAGTTCACATCAGTCATCCTTGTTGTGCCACAATCTTTATATATATAATTCTTCTGTGAGTGTGTACACTGAACTTCTCTCAAACGGCTGGACCGAATTTGATGAAATTTTTTGTGTGTGTTCAAGGAGATCTGGGAATGGTTTAGATTCACAAATCAGCCCGGCAGATGGCGCTGCAGTGCAGCTACTAGGTTATTTATCCTAAACAGCTGAACCAATTTGAATGAAGTTTTGTTTATACATTCAAGTGGATATGCAGGACAACGTCTGTTGGGTTCGCTAGTATTCAATATTACCGGACCGAGTTACCGTGCAGCATAGTTTTGATACTAGTTTAGTAGTTTCCTACTCACCGTCCATTGTCGGCATTAGCCATACATAGTTCCACAAACAATGAAATCAATTTTTATTGCATTTTACATCAGCTATCTCTCAATGTTCTCGGTATTCACTAATTGAGATCTTGAACAGTTCAATAGCTTATTTCTTTCATTATGATAGCTATATTAATTGATCCTTGACATATTGAAAATTTACCTCTCATATTTTCTCCTCTGCACGTAATTTGTTGCAGATATATTTGTATTTTGCTGTTTTCATTTCTGTGTCAGCTATTTATAAATCTGTGTTTGTTCAATTAAACTAACTGGCAACTTCGCTTCAATAAACATCAGTTTCATTGGTAAATTATTCTTAGAATTTAAACTCTATGTGATGACTTCCCTACCTACGTTATACTTTAACTTAAGTACGTATGTGTGAAATGAGGGTAGGTACTTTGATGTAGTATTTACCAAAACTAGAAACAGATACAGGTGTGTGGCTACCTTGTACATATACCTACATAACTACATTCATGTTTTGTGTCAGCTCCGTGTCCCCACATTGTGATTTTCACCCTATGTCATGGGTTGGGTGCACTTGCAAACAGAAATTTCGTGTGTGAAATTGCTGTTTGGGTGTAATACGTAACTCGCTCTGACACACAGTTGTTCACTGCGAAAATCGAAATGAAGATTAAATATATTTTCAATATTTTACACTTCAAACTCCACAAAAACCCTGACTAATGCTACAATTAATATAGATTTTTTTAAGCGTTTCCCCATATTAGTATTTTCTCCTGTGTCGTGGGTGCGTTTACAAACATACAAGTTCACATACACATGACACCCAGACTCGGAACAACAGACTGTGGATCACACAAAGAGTTGTTCCGTGCGGGAATCGAAGCCGCGACACGTTGCGTCGAAACCAGTTGCCCAATAACCACGCCAATCGTAGAGTGAGAATAGAAGAGTTAAATAACATATTCGATCTCAACCATTATGATCACAATACTAAGAGGTTATGGGGCATCTTAGCGAAACGAAGATCCGATTTACTCAGCGCCTGGGTACCTGGATATGGTAGGCTGGAGCTTATTTCCAACCTTGCCAATATTTGACGTTGTAATAGCATTATGGGTCACACAGACCGGCAAATACGTCGGATGCAGCGATCCTAATTTAATTGCCGGTAATTGATATTTATTGAGTCGGATTCGGTCACGATCTTCCAACTCCCAGTTCTTAGATGTGAGATACTTGCTAGCCATATTGTGACTGCACTTTATCTACAAAGGGTCACAGGTTCTGCTGCTTAACTATACATGTGTGTCATTTAGAACTGATAACGTCATTATACAAATACACTCAGTAATGCCGCATTATAACATGAGTCGAAAGCAATGCTTAGGTTTTGAGTGATTATAAAACAACTATAATATTGAGTCGTCCATATTGATTTTATTCATCACACCACGTGGTTGTTACCTAGGTCACAAATATAAATACTAAACTATCTGCCATCTTCATAATACATGTTTGTTTATTAATTTATATGCATTGTTGTACAACAATACATTTATAGCTCTCAGATGTAATATTCAGTCGCAGACGTGCGATATTGCATATTAAACGCTGGTTGCAAATTATCCAATGATATTGAATCCCTGTAATCACAAAGTTAAATCAAGTGTGAACAATAACGGATGCAACACCTAGTGCTCCATAATTATTATTCTGATGTATTATATATATAGATTGAAGGTAATTAATTAAACTCTGATGATACGTACATTTTATATATCAACATCGTTAGTAGACGTTCAGTCCAGAACAAATATTTTCACCATGCCTCATGGTAGAACTGATGACCGATAAAATGTAGAAAGAGTCATCGAGTGGCGCTTATTAACCAAAATGTGAATCATCGGACACATCGATAGGCCATCCCCTAAGTGGACTAATATTGTCGCAGACAAGCAAAATTGCAGCAAATTTTCTTTTTTATTTTACAACCTTTATGACTAATTATTATTTTCGCCTTATATTTGATGAGGAACTCGACTAGTTTCAAGGCATGTTATCACGTGAATCACGGCAGAGGGCGCGTTGGCGCGCTTACTCAGCCAGCCAGTAGCAGCGCGACAGTCGCCGCGTCGCCGGTCGCGGAATGCTGCTCATGAATATAAGCCTCTAGCGTGGCTTGAAACTAGTCGAGTTCCTCGTCAAACAGTTCGTGTACGTAAGCCGAAAACATAATAATTAAGTACTTTGTCTGACGAGAGTTTAATATAAACCTTTGTGACGTACGTAATATTGAATAACTTTTCGGACGGAAGTTTTATTAATAAGGTTACTCCTATCGATAAATTTCAAAAAGTACTTTGTTTACGTATATTAATTTACGTAGCTTAACTAAAATAACTTTACAAATTTTGCAGTGTTCTCTCTGCATCCTTGCTAATTAATGAATATTTCAGATACTTTAGTTTCATTATCCGATGCACACGTGAGTTCTCAATATTCAGTACATGTAAAAATAGTAACAGTTGGCTGTATGTTTATAGTATGGAAACTCCGAAATTCATGTAGAAAATTAAAAGGCATATAGTTTGTTTCAATATTGTTGCTTTATCAGTACTTTAAAGTGTGGGAGAGCCATGCTTCGGCACGAATACCGACCGAAGTGATACCACGGGCTCACAGAAAACTCACGTGAAACAACGTTTGCGTTGTGTTTCGTCGTGTGACTGAGGTTACCGGAGGCCCAATTATAATATCGGGGAGAGAGCTCCCCAATCCCCGAATCCCCAACAATCCCTGAAACTCCGGCAACGCACTTGTAACGCTTCTAGCGTTACAGGTGTCCATGAGCGGCGCCGATTGCTTACCATCAGGTGATCCGTCTGCTCATTTACAGGCTTATCCCCATCAAAAAGTGGTAGCGTTTCTATAGTACTTTTTAGAAAACAATTATTTTTGTGAGAAGTGATAACAGTTAGAGCACATAACAAAAATAATGTGTATTTTCATTATTCGTTCCCGTATACAACAGTCCACAGGTTTAATGTACAGTATTTAAAATGTATAAAACATTTATTAATAGTAATTAATTGTCCAATCTTTTCTTACATATAACCTTTACTATATTGAATGTTGGATTTTTTTTGCTTTGTATCGGAAGCAAGGGGTGCGAACGAATAAGGGGAATGTAAAATTCAACGATAGGTAATAGTGCAGTCGACTTACATTTTTTATTGTCCATCTAATAGAGACTAGATAAGTACCTACGTTAATTAAAATGACTCGACATTTTCCAATGCTTTTTTTTTGGAATTAAAAATGTACGACGATATATTGATTTAAATCGTATGACGTTAATTATAAAATGTATGTTGAATTAATATAAACTGACTACTAAAGTTTAATTTGTTTCATCAAAATATATTTTTGCAACAAAAATTATATGCGGGGTTTTGGTGTCGGGAAAACATGAAGTTGTTTCGTGTTATTATAAATTACACTCGGTGTTGGT